ATCCCTAGTTCAATTCCTCTTGTGACAAATTTTTGCATTTCGAGTTGACGTTCCAAAATTCGCGCAAAATGGAGTTCTGATTGTTCTGGTTGGTTCTAACTCCATTTTGCGCGAATTTTGGCACGTCAACTCGAAATGCAAAAATTTGTTACCACGAGGAATCGAACTAGGGACCTCCTTTTCTGGTATTCAGAGGGCCGTTCAGGAAAAATTGAACATGGTTCTGTGGTTCCCGCATCTGCCCCTATATCATGCAAAAGACCGTTTTCAAAAAGCTTGTCACGCCCTGAAAGACCTTCCTGGTTAAGCGAGGGGGATCGACAATTAAGGAATGACGACTTACAAGTACTTTGAACAGGCTTAGGAGAAGGGGGAGGGATTCAGAGGCAGAATGTTAGCAAAAACTGATCTCCCTGGCGTTTCTCCCTTTTCCCGCTTTAGTCAGTGTCACCTACCGCGGACTCCAGCTTTGAATACCCCCAAAGGCCATCAGCGCCCGCAAACAGCTTTTGCAATTCTACGTGGTGACGGAATGCATGTTGCATCCCGAACCAAAGTCAAGCGACCGGGGGAGATGTCCAAACGGAGTATTTATGGACCGTGAAGGAGTCGTTCTTGCAGGAAAGTAGCTGCCAAGAATTGGAGGTTTTTTTTAGGATTTCCGGAGCCTTCTCCCCTCTTCCGCTCGCCTCCCCCATCCCTGCTTGACAGAAGTGTTGTCAGCTGGTCCCAGAATCAGATACTACGGAGTAGTGCAGAGATGAGGAGGCAGTGGTGAAGAGCTTCGGGGCCCGTACTGTGGGCGAACTCCTGTATGTGGGTTTGGGGCAAGATGTGCGACCTCCGTGAAGGGGGAATCGCAAAACTCAGCGACCCTACACGACGGTGACCCTTTCCCGAAGCCTCCCTTCTTAATTCTATACCGTCCTTCCGTGAAGGTCAACAGAACAAATTAAGGTCCTAAAAGCATATTAAGGCCTTGATTTGTTAAGGAAGGGAAATGGTATCGTGGAAAACGGCACCACTGCTCCCTCGGTACGGGATCAAATCCTACCCATGCCAACCCAATACCAGCCTTCCTGTGTTGGCTGGTTGGTATCATGCCCGTCTGGAAAAACAAAAACCCACAGTTTTATGCCGGCTAACCTCAGGAGCTCATTGTGTAAGCGCAAACGCATTCAAATACCAACACGGTTCTCGGTGGAAGAGAGTACGTGGCGCACTCCAGAAAGACAGCTATTCAATACTGGATGCCCTATGCCCTTGTACGGAAAACTGAAGGTTTTTCAAGGGCAGCGTTTCGATCCTTAAGATGGGTAAGAAGCAACCAATCGACTCCGGCAAGACAGATTGATCATTTTTGTTCATGTACATTTTTTTCCACGATTTGTGAGACCGTTCACATGCTCAACTTCAAACAAATCCTATGCGCGCTAAGAGTCCTCATGAGACGCCTGGGAAGCAGTCGCTTTGATAGTGAACCCACCGCCAATCTCGGCACCACTTCATGACGGATTCCTTGCTCGACGGCTAATGAGATTACGGTAGGATGGCTAGTCTGCTCCTTTAATCATACTTGCCTT